CACAATTCGAACTATGAAGAGGGATTCCGTAATCATAATCGAATTTGAGAATGCAAATATCACAATTTCTATCTCCTTAAAATCTACTTAGTGAAAGCGTTTCCTCACAATCATTTTCATGAATTGTAGAGAAACCTTATGACACTTAGATTTTATGATGTACGTTTTCCTATCCATGTAAATTTGTCAAAACCATGACCACAAGACAAGGTTAGTAACAATTCCTAACTCATATGGACTGAACTTGTTCAATCTGAATTTTTTTCCACCCAGCAGCATGCGGGCCTACCATTTCTTCTAGGTTGTTATGCAAATAATTGAGAACTCATAGAACTCACATGCATAGTCAACTTTATCTATAATGGCCATAGAAACAAGAATATGTCAACACAATAGGTTACAAACCTCAAGTCGTGTGCTAGTGATTAACAATAGGTTTACGCTTGATTAGTTCTTGAAACTTTTCAAGATCATTAAGACTCCCACTAACCTATTGACATATAAAATTCTCTTATCTAGAAACATTCTTGAAAAACAAATATTCAAGAGTTAATTGGATCTTTATCAAGACAAACACTTCACACAATTGGTCTTAGTTGGTCTTTGTCTTATCTAAAACATCACAACTTACCAATTTCAAATGTACAAGAGTAAGAAACATTTTACTCTACATTTGATGAGTATTATAAACCTTCTTAAGATTATGTCACTCAAGTCACAATATTGGAGTATGACTCTAAGATTTTTGGAATGAAGTATGACTCATCTTCTTTAACCATTTTAATCAATTCATGATTCCTCTTCTTAGCCATAAAAATGCACTAAGATGTCCTTAGAGGATCAATTGTGATATGGTTCCATAATCACTAAGATGATCATAAAACATGATACTCAAGTACTCTCCCTTCTTTTTAGATTGGAGAAATTTTTATCTTTTTGACTAATTTGATTCTTCTCATTCGTTCTGCTATACATTGAAACTTTTTCAATGATTCGGAATTATTCTTAATCTTGTAAGTATAACGAATAGTCCTATCGTTCTTTGTGGTGGATCTGACCAGCGCAAAACCAAGTGCACCCGATCCCCTAGTCCTTCACCTGACTCACATATACATGTGAACAAGGAATTAGTCTTAATTTCTAAAGATGAAGGTTCTTATTCATCACACATTACAAGTTACATGATTTCGAGTTTCTATCCAATTGAAACTTGGGTGATGAGAATCTTTCCTTATTTGGTAAATTTTGACTCTACCACAAACGAAAGAATCAAATCCATTTTCCAATATTGCTATCAATGGAAGCATATAAACAACAATTTTCACAAATGTTATTGTAAGGAGACTTCAAATAAGATAAAAATAAAAAAAATCTTTATTTATAAAAGTGCGGAAAACTTGTCCTTACAATGTAAATACAAATCAAAATTATGTTGTTATCTATTCCTAAGCAATCTATCATAACTCTTAAGTAGGAGCTCAAAATTTTGCTCATCAAGCCATGCGATCGAAATCCATATCTTCGCAATCAGAATCAGCTTACTTTTCCTTTAAGCTTCCTTTCTTTTCTTTAATTGTACAAAACATCAAAATGTACTTACATTACATCATGTATTAAGAATCTCCAAATAGGAACTTAATACAGTTAGACAGTGGACTTTCTAAAGTAGAATCAAACATTTTGACTTTACCATCTCTTAGATCCCTCAGGTAGCTAGGGCAGCTTCGCTTTGGAACATAAGATAATCCCAGAACTGGCCTTTCTCTTACGTTCAAACTTTTTGACTTTAGCCAATTTCTCTCTCCTAGGAGAAGAAATCATTTCTGGATTGTCACAGTTGTCCATGGAAATTTGGGAAGTAGATCTTCCAATCAACTTTGCTTTACCAGTATGCCAAATCATTTATGATTCAGCAGCAATAAGCAAATAGTTCAGATCAATAAGGTTCATGTCGTGGTCTGTCATATAGTAGTCCTTAACGAACCCGCTATATGACTCAAGAAGTGATTGAAGAACCCAATCAACAACCAACTTCCTCGAGACTTTGACACCCAACTCTCCCAGCCTGTTAATATGTAACTTCATCTCTAAGATGTAAGCACATAAATATCTTCCATCATTGTGTTTGCTTGCCAATAAGGCTTGAATGACCTTGAACTTTTCAAGTCTTTGAACATGTGGGTTAGGGAGAAGAATTGGAGGAGGTGGAGGAAGTGAAGTATGATTTCTAGTTCCACTAATGCATGGCAAATGGAATATATGGAAATGTTTCCATAATGGGAGTTGGATATTAAAAATTTATGTAGATTAGAACTGTTATGCAAGAAGGATGTTCAAAGGAATGTACTTTGAATTTGAGACTTCATTTCTATGGAGTTGTCTTGTATCAATCTCTAATAGAGCACTTTGTAATATCATTAGCAAAGTCATTGTGACTTTAGTGCTATGTCATTACAAAAGGATCATTGCGTAAAATGTTAGAATCTAACACATAACAAGAATTTGGTATTCTTACACTTGTGGTAAGGATTGGGAATTGTGAAATGGACATCATTGGAAATGTGTTCAATTGATCTATTTCACAAACTAAGGACCATAGGTAAACATAACGTACGTGCTTGGAGCATGGGATGACTATTGTTTCAATTCAAGTATTAAGTTGATTACTCGAAACATTATATAATGAATAATGTGTAATGAATATGGTGATTAAATTAAAGGTGTTTTATTTATACTCAATATGTTGAGGCCATATTGGATTCGATTATTCTTGTGTTTCACTTTGCATGTTTTGACTTCCCAAATAATAAGATTATTCAAACATCCACAGTTAATCATACTTTGGAAGTAGGTAATGGGGTAAGACTATCATCAATCCGACTGTAGATTGTCTAACGGGTTGTTTGTTTTTTCTCTACAGATCTGTGTGGGCTCTTTTGTCTGCGGTAGGGGTGTTGAACGTGTAATTTTTTCGGGTTTTGGGTAATTCGGGTCGGGTAATTCGGGTTTTTCATGTTAGAAAAATTACTCGTTACCCTACCCAAACTAAATTCGGGTAATTCGGGTTTGGGTAATTCGGGTATCGGGTCGGGTTTGGGTAATTCGGGTATTACCCGAAATATATGATTTTTTTTTTAATTTCACCTAAAAATAAATTTAATGAAATAAATACTCGTGCTTTATTAGTTTTGTTTATATAAACAAACGAGACATAAACGAAGTTACTCAAGCTTTGAACATTGAGATTTTCTACTCAATAATACATGAGATATCAAATATTTTTTTAACGACTTAATCTAATCTAATAAGATGTTAAAAAAACAAATACCTAAAGATCTTAATTTAAAAGTTTAAAATGTTTAAGATAAATGTAGTCATAAGTTTTGCAATGTTCTAAAGTTTCGTCAAGATAATGAGTTTGTTAGTTGTAATTAAAACTATAATAGAGAAAACAGGTAAGTTTTAAATAACGTGATGATGTATAAAAATTACTTTTAATATTGTTAATTTCGTATTGTCATAATAAATATATTTATTTTTATAATAATAATATTAGTTTAAGCGTGATCAAATACCTGCTATATAGTACAAGCTCTACAAAAAAAATGAATTTTTAAAATAATTTGGGTAATTCGGGTAATTCGGGTATACCCGAAACCCAAAAAATGTACCCTTTACCCGACCCGAAAAAAAATCGGGTAACCCGATTACCCGGAAAAATTTACCCGATACCCGATTTACCCGACCCGATTTACCCAATACCCGAAAAAATCGGGTGGGTAATTCGGGTATCGGGTATTTTCGATATGGCTAGTCTGCGGGGCACAGACCACGTGCACACTAAAATATTTGCAGTGTGTTTATTTTTCTAAAGTGCGCAGACATAAAAACGTTTGCACGAGGTCTTCACCACTCAGACTTGGGCCAACATCTTCTAAAGTCCGCAAGTGTTTTAAACCTAAAAAAATGCATCCTTCTATTGTATCCACCTCCCTCGCAAACGTTCCCACCCGGTCCACATTTCTCCACCGATAGAACCCATCCATCTTCAATCCATCGACCATCGCCTCCGATCAGCACCCCCGTCGCCAACCTACTCTCCGATCGAAGGCATCTAGTAACCAGGCGCCCGCCGACTTGTACGATTCAGGCTACCAGCCAATAGGTTCGTCATCTTCCATGCGTTTTTTTAGTTCCAAGATGAAATTAACATGAAATTGAGGAATAATCTTGTTGTGAAAACTCTCTAATTCACTAAAAATCTTGTTTCTGGCTTCAAATTCTTGTTAAATGTTATTACAATACATGTATATCTCCTCTTTCACAATATGTTATTACAATACATGTATAGTACATGATCAGATTAGGTTTTTGCATACAAAAAAGAATGGAACTACAGTCATGTATCATGTATGTTTGATTGATATTCTGGAAAATAATATAAATATATAAAGCCTATTTTGCTGAAAATTAATAAAATTAAAGAAAGTCTTGCCTTTTCTTTTCATGTTTATGTCTCATAAGTAGTGTAGAAGCAAAAGAGCCTTTTCTTATATATGAAATAATGTCGTCAATTGTGAATTGTTTATTGCTGTGAATTGTGAATTGTGAATTGTTTATTGTTGTGAAATAATGCTGTCAATTGTGAATTGTTTATTGTTGTGAAATAATGTTGTGAATTGTGAATTTTTTATTGTTGTGAAATAATGCTGTCAATTGTGAATTGTTTATTGCTGTGAAATAATGCCGTGAAAATTTGTGCTGAAAACATGAAATGATGCTGTCAACTAATGATATCTAACAAGTCACATGAAAATCACACTTTAATTGTTGATTGTTTATTGTTATTTGGTTTTGAAAATACTCTTGATTGTTTTAAATCATTATTATTTTTTGTTGTAATGTGTATGATATACAATCTCTTATGAAATCATATTTTTCAATTTGTGAATGCTACAATACCTTATGAAATTATTATTGTCTATGATATATTGCTTATTAGAAATGGGAGAAAAACAACAATGGACCAATGAGCATTTAAAATGCTTATTGGATACTTGTATTGAAGAAGTAGAGAGTGTCGGTAGAAAAGGATTGAGTTTGTAGAAAGACTCATGGATAACGCTTGGAAGAGTTCTTAAGGAGAAATTTGGGTTTGAGTTGAGTCAAAAACAAATGAAAAACGCATATAACAATATGAAAGCCAAATACACTTGATGGGTGTATTTAAAAAACAAAACTGATAATATATACAACTCTCAACCAAACACTTTTAACTTAACAGCCGAGGAATTGGATGATTTTAATATATATATATATATATATATATATATATATATATATATATATATATTAAACATTTATGTTTAAAGTTGCCAAATATTCTTATACTATTTTTTGTTACATTTGCTTTTAGGGGCATCCGAAGGCTGCTTCATTGAGAATAATTCCACTGCCTTTTCTAGATCTTTGTGCGTGTCTTTTTTTGATGGAAATCGTGCTATTGATAATTTTAGGAGTTACTCAACCCAATCATCATCAGTAGCTGGAGCATCCTCTTTTTGTCTTTCACCACTTCAGATTCACGCCACCGCTTTTCATGTAATAGATGATGATGGTGATGACACTTCCCACCATGAGCCACCACCTTCTGCTGCTTCACCATCTGGTAATCCCAACAAAAGGGATAAACCCTCAACTCCTATACCTCCTAGTGCCTTACCATATGCTTCTTCATCTGATGGAACTACTATTACTGGTGACGATTTAGCATTAGAAATGAAAAAAGCTCTACAAAGTTTGACTTAAGGGTATACAATCCCTCAATGTTTAGAGAAGTTAGAGGTGCTTCAGTTAGGCCCTACCGATCCTTTACGCTTTGTTGCATATCATATTTTTGGAGGGACCATTAACATAAGAGAGATGTGGATGCATTTGCCCGATGTTCCCGAGATATTACGAAGATGGCTTGAGATGACGAGTACAAGTTTAGGAGTTTTGAAGGATGGAAAGATTGTCTGATGATTTTTCTAGTGTTGAAACTATTTGTTAGGTCTTTTTGCCTTTGTTGGAACTATTTTGTTAGGTCCTTTTGCCTTTGTTGGAACTATTTTTTGTTATTTTGCTACTTGGAATATGGTTTATCTAATGTTTTTTCGTACTTGAAATATGATTAATGTAATGCTTATTTGCTACGTCAAATATAGTTTATGTAATGTTTTTTTGCTACTTGAAATATGGTTGATGTAATGTTTTTTTTTGCTACTTGAAATATGATTAATGTAATGTTTTTTTAAAGTTCTACTTTGTTGATTTTAGGTTCATAATGGATCACGATCAAAAGTTACTTCTCGTAATTCTTATGTACCTGTACATCCGTTTTTTTTGTAAGAGGGGTGTGAAACGATTGTGGAATAATGATTCGGAAATGACAGGACATGAATACACATTGGAGTTGTTACATCGTAATCGTTTACAATTTGTTGAAGTACTACGCATGTCCCGTGACTCTTTCGTAGGAGTATGTGCTCATTTAAGAGCAAATTACTCATTAAAGGACAATAAACATGTATCGGTTGAGGAAAATATGACCATGTTTTTATGATGATCAGCCATAATCAACGTTACGTGATTATCAAGAGGAGATTTCAACACTCGAAGCAAACAATTCATAATTTTTTTATGAAGTGTTGGAAAAAATGATGCTTTTCGCACAAGATGTTATAGTACCAACTTCTTTTAATCCGAATCCAAACATTCTAGGACATAATAGGAGGCTACGACGGGTTTTCAAAGGGGCGGTTGGTGCACTTGATGGAACTTTGATACATGTTGTTGTCCCTGCTAAGTAACAAGACTTATATAAAAGTAGGGGAAAGGGAGACTGTTATCAAAACGTATTGGCAATTTGTGACTTCAATATGATTTTCACATTTGTTGTGGTCGGGTGGGAAGGGGTAGCGCATAACTCTAGAATATTATCAGAAGCAATAACCGATCCACAATCATCATTCCCGTTTCCACCACCCGGTAAGTTTTTATTTTGTTTTAAATACTCTTATCTTAGTTTGAAAATTGATTAGTGTTTTGCATTTTTTACAGACAAGTATTATCTTTGGGATGCAACACACTCGAGGATTTATGGCCCCTTATCATAATGTGAGGTATTGGATTGGAGATTTTTGTCAAAGATATGCATTGACCAATAAGGAAAAATTTAACCATGGGCATGCAAAATTTCGGAATGTCATTGAGTGTGCTTTTGGTGTTTTGAAAGCACGCTTCCCTATATTTAAGAGGATGACACCATTCTCGTTTGTGACACAAAGAAACATTATCATGGCATGTTTCGCACTTCATAATTTTATAAGGAGAGAAGAAATGAGTGATGAGTATTTTGCACGATACGATGAACCCACCGTCTCGTTTCGAAATAACAATGTGGGCGTTGATGATGATGATGATGGGATTCCAACACATGGTACTATAATAGACCGTGAATATATGACTCAGTTACGAGATGAAATTGTTGATCAGTTGATGCACATTATAGATTGAATTGCTTTAAATGAAATTGTTGTTGTAAAACCATTTTTTTTATTGTATGACTAATTTAGATACATGAATTTTATTTTCAATGTTATAAGACTATTATTATTAAAATGTTGGTGTTGGAAAATCATGTTATGTTTGTAAAATCATTTTATTTAAAATTTCAGTTTATTTCAGCAGCCTACAGACGTTAAAAAACAAACAATCTTCTTATTGCAAACTGCAAATGCTTGGTCCACCTCTTCTGCTGCAGAGGCTTGAAGATGTGGTCCGTAGACTGTAGATATTTTGGCTTCAGAAAAACAAACAACACCTAAGTGTTTAGGCATAACAAAAGTCTGCTACATTATTCATGAGTACTCCTGAAATAGGGATTTGAGTATTAAATTAAACCCACGCTCATGTGAATCACTTCATGAATTTTATCACGAGTGATTGTTAGACGATAATATCTTATATTCTTAAAACGAAGAGATATGAGTTGTTTACCGGTTGGTTGCACATTGATAATACGTAAACGCATTAGTAACTTGATGTTATAAAACGTATTGTTATGTGTGATTTGATGAGTAAATAGTGCAAACATATGAGTCAAAGTTTATCCGTTCCTTTTACCCAAAGTGGGATAAAAGCGATATCTGTGGGCCCCTCGATGATTTAGTTATTACACCCTAAGCGTTTGGCCAAGCCTGAACTAATTTGATTTGTTTAATTAGTAAGTCGTTAGAAATCGGAAACCGGGAAACAACTATTAGACAGAGATTGATTATAATCCATGTCTCATTTCCATGAGACATCTTGTAGAATGGAGTAATATTTGATCCCTTATCTAAGGACACATCACTAACTGGGTCAGAGTTCGACAACAACTTTTGGTAGCTAAGATTTGCTAGTTAATTTTTGAAGTTATACTTGCAAGTTGCAACTATAGTTATTAGACTTATCCAAGTGGGAGACTGTTGGATTAGGTGTCTAAGCCCATAATTATAATTGGTATGTACTTGAATTGATAGTAGCAATGTCCTTTTGGGTTGCCTTCAAACGTGTCAATTGAATAGGATAACTGTTGGAAAGAGAAGAATGATTTATTAATTTATTATTTGGTTAATAAATTAATTTGAAATCAAGATAAATAATTTATTATTGTGTTATGGATATAATATATTAATTAGAAATCATATTGTTTAATTAATATTTAATCAGGAATTAATTTGGAATTAATTTTAGGATTAAAGGAATGAATTGAAACTGTATGGACTAAAGGTGACAATGTTTAAAAGTTGAGCATTGAAGCATTTTAGAACCTCCCTTAGAGGTGGGGAGCGAAATCTAGAGTTTCCTAGGGTTTCCTTGGGCTCTAAGGGTGCCTTGGAAGCCTTAGGGAGGATGTTAATGGATTAGGGTTATCTAAGATACATCTACCTTATCCTAAACCTTCCTTATCATATATATAAACCTCTATAGGGTTGGATTTCGTCCCATGCACTCCAAGAAAGGCTTAGAGCTGAATTTTCACTTCCTTTCTTTCTCTCTCTCTCTCTCTCTCTCTCTCTCTCTCTCTCTCTCTCTCTTTCTCTCTCCATAGTAATCCTTGGTTGCTAGGTTTGTTTATGAGCCATTAGAGGCGCGACACTTGTAGCGCTTGCTACGAAAGTTCAAGATCTTCAAGGATTTGATTGTTATTACAATATAACAATAAATGTATGTATCATAACCCTAATTATATGTTAATTTCGAAAATTACATGTGCCTTCTAGGGTTTTTAGTTTTTGTATTCAATGCTTGTATGTTTAATAATGAAAACATAGATCCTCAAATTAGGGTTGCATGCACACATATGATTGTTTTGTATATATAAAACGCATCACTTTCTTCATTAGGTATTTACAAAGTTGATATTTTTGTTGAGTACAGATCAATCCATAAATAGGATTGGAAAGATTGAAAACTCTAAATGTGTAATCAAAAATACGCCTGCTGAATAAATAATATGTCTATTTCAATAAATAAATCAATAAAATATCTACTGTAGACTCCTTTCACACATCATTTAATCGAAATCTCACTTCCATAACAAAGGTTCCTTTCCTAGTTGTTTATAATTTGTCAATATAAATTAATATTTATTTATAATATTAACACTATTTACTTTTTTCATCAAAAAGCCTTATTATTTATTTATATTTTTATTTATCAAATACGTGCACACTATAGCAATATACTTTTGTCTCTTTCAAACTAAAACAAAATCTTTTCTATTCCTTTAATTTTATGCCAAAGATACTGAACTTTTACCTAATTTTACTCATAACCAACATTATAACATATCCAAACAAAAATTATATCATAAAATAACTCTAGTTGTTGTTTCTAAGGTATGAGTCCCATTGCTTCATACATGGGTAGTGGATATAAAATCTTCAAAAATTTACTAAATATTATTTTTAAAAAGGCATAACTTTTTTATTTGTAATTCGAAATGACTTTGAATATTTTTAAATTACTTTCTCTATTGTAGTATCTTTCTACTAAAACATTATCTTCACAAATTTTATACCTTTAGACCCAATTTTCATAATTATAAAGTAGAACCCTTCATATACGGTGAACTCAGTTTCTTATATTTTATTGATATTTCTACTTTATTTCTTTAAAATGATAAGTTTTAATTAATGATTGCATGTACAATATATGCAAACATATGTTGGGTACCAAATGATAAAAATACCTTTTTGGATCAAAGCTAAATATCACAAAAAATTGATACGTTAATATGTCATCTTAGTAGTTTACATGTTATGTGGTCAATATTATAAAATTTAAAAAATTTAGTCCCTAAATTGTAAAAAAACGACATAATATTAAAATCATATATTTATAAAAACATAATAACTTTTATAGGATTCAATTTAATAAAAAATAAGGTTGGTCACAAATAAGAAATCAAAATACTTCAGAGTTGTAAAATTGAAAAGCATATGTCGGCATTCTCCTTGTCAAAAATCAAAAATTGGAGATGGGTCCATGGCTCCTACCATATATCTTGCTATTCACATCCGTACGATTCTTTGGGCCCCACTTTTATCCACCACGTGGCACTCCATAAAGGCCTTTACCATAAAAAATGTCGACCCCACAATCCTTTTTTGGTCGTATTCAATGATCAACAAACTAGTCACAAACCCCACTAATAATTTTGCCTTAAAAACTAGAGGCCTAAGTTTTGTGGTACCCATTCAACAATTATTTGTACTTTAAATTATATATTAAAGCTTTGTATTTTTTTTATCTATTATTATTATTATTTTTTTAGTAAAAAATAGCTAATTCATTTTGTGTTTTTCATCTGTCATTATATTTTAGTAAATATTTTATTTTCGGGCTATTGGTTGGTTACCCACAGATCATGATGACCAATCTGACATTTTTCTCGGTTCGCATTTAACTCCAATATTTATGTATGAGTTTGCATTTAGCTCCAATATTTGTTGTTCCTCATTTACCATTATTTAAAAAAAAACCAGTTTAGTCATTGGCCAGTTACGAATAGATATTTTAAAACATAATAACTTAAAATGAAAAAAAAAAAAGAATTGACAAATGCAAGAGTCGAACAGGCAACTTCTCCTTGAGGTGTGTGGCGTGTTAACTAATAAGTTAATGACTTTTTTTTTTTTTGTATTTTCAATGTTTGTTGTATTTAATGTACATATCTTACTACTTTATAATACATTTATGATAAGAAGATGAAAACTTTTAAGACTAAATCTTAAAAATAAGAAGGTTGAATTTTGATCTTTAGATTTAATTTGAATGGTCAAGATGGTGATTCATGTGAAAGAAAATTAGCCAATGATAATGTAAGGTTTAAATAAACATTCAAACTCTTTCATTATATCAACTAACACTTCCCTCGTCCCTTGATTTAAAATGGAAAAACCCTAAAATAATAATCTTCCACCGGCACCTATTGAGGCCACGATCATTCCCATCGTCGTTAGCAACATCCACTCTACCTTTACACTTCTATTTTCCTCTCTCTGAAAAATCATATCCAAACTGCCTCTTTCTCGAGCAAACACAACCCACACCAACCTTTTAACCACTCTCCTTCTTTTTTCTATAACTGCCGCCGCCACCATTACCACCATCCTTTTCCATTACCAGTCACTTCTTTGTCTTTCTTCATCTTCATTTTTCTCTTTCAGATTCGTAATACTACACCATTAAAACTCCAGATCTTGTTTTTGTTTGATCCTTATTTTTGTTTTGTATATATAAGGCGATTTTATAGTGATTTGCGGTTCCACTTATTTAAATATTTACTTACTTTTGTATGGTTTTTGTGCTAGGTGAGTTTTGAATATGGGAAATGGTTTATGCTTTATATCTGAGATAGTTTCGTTTTTAACCATACATATATGATGATGTTGAACGTAATGCATATCAAATAGTCAATGGATGTGTAGGGTTATGTATATAACAACTTACTTAGTTTGAGTGTAAATTTTCAGATCTGAATATATTCATTAATTGTAAGTTGTTTTTTTTTTTTTTTAAATGGTGGGATAAGGAATCTAGAAATGCTTTCAATACAGTTTTGAATATTATGTTTCTGCATTACTTTTGTCTAAATATGATTTTTGCTATATGGGAACGTGATTGTGTATTAGCGATTTTGTTTGGAAAGTGGTTACATAAAAATTGATAAGGAGATCAATTTTTATTGTTGTTTTAAAATTTTAAAAACAAAGACTATCACAAAGTACAACAATTGAGATGATCATTTTGAACTTTTGATCGAAATATTGTTAAAATATATTATGATTACTAACGAATATAGTACTTTTTTTTGTTTTTCGAGAAAAATACTTGACGGTAAAACTATAATACAGATTAATATATTTTATATCACATAGATTATAATATTTTAAATTCAAATCGCTTAATACAAAAGCACATATTCATATTGTATTTACTTATATTTAATGTTTGTGTGCATTTATTATCATAATTAATCAAACTTCAAAAACAAAAAAATATGTATTAAAGTTTTCTGGTTTTACAAATGACAATATGTACTTCTCCGAGCTAAAATGAGTTGTATTACAACTGTTGTAATACAATCACCTACATCAATGTAGCTAGACTAATATATGATAGCGACGAGTCTTGTTACAATTCAAATAAACGAGTAGGGGAGCAGATGCATAAAACATCATCCAAACGTTATTATTAGTATTAAGTTACTAATAGTTAATAGTTATAATTACCTAAAAGTATAAATGTTTGAATTCGAGTTTTAGAAACAATTTTTTTTTTTAATTGCATATTTCCTAAACTGAAATGTATTTCATATATAATATGACCGAAAAAGATTTCTTATAAACTGAAATGTTGAAATATTTTTTTACACTAACTTTTTCTGTCATGCGTTATAATTTTGACCAATATTAATTATCCTATATGCTGGATTAGTAATACAAAAATAAATCGAATTTACTTTGACTCATTATACCAGTAAATGGAATATACAAGGCATCGAATTAAAATAAATAAATATACAAAGAGGCGTAGCTATACTATGATCAAACAAAATTATATTTTTTGTTCTCTTGAAATTTATTTCTTTACCAATCTAAAATTTTTCTTAATTGCGTTTAGTTTAATTCATCAAAACTACTTTTCCTAGCTAAGGGTCTTTTTTTTTTTTTTTTGTATCTTAAAAAAATAATAATAAATGGTTAGAATTTTTTTTTTTTTTTTTTTTTTTTGTAAAAGATGGATTTAATTGAGTTCCTAAATGAACTAATAAAAAGTTAAATGGTTGGGTTATCTATGATTCCATGCTAATAAAATAGAATCATCAAGAGACACTAAAATTGATCGTGTTGAAAGTAGAGTAACCTGAAACTTTAAATTAAAACCATAGATCATAAATTTCACCCAAAACAAAAAATCTAAACCTAAACAATAAACTTCTAAATTTTATACCTTAAACCATAACTCCAACTTTAAACTCCCCACGAAAAGCCAATCCACAAGCGCGTTACTTAGTAACGATATTATAACACCACTTCAGATGTCACTTTAACCGTAACACTATATGAAAACTGGTGTTCCTATTTCTCCTGTTAAAGCATGTTGCTGCTAGCACATCTTATACCATAACATCATTTGAGGCGGCGTTCATAGCGTTATAACATCATTACGGTTTTCCAACATAACCATAGCGGGTTGTAAAACGACATGTACCATATGCCACCGTATTTCCAAAAGGAAACTATCTCCAAAAAGAATATTGTTCGCTACCAACCGAATGGATAAAAGTCGCCAAAAAGAAAACTATTCATCGTTATTTTTACCCTAAAAACACACCATATTAATCATCGCCCGGAACTTACAATATGATTCAATGTAACAACACTTTACCGAACAAATAATCATCAAATGTAAAGTAATCGCTAAGTATAAAACACATAATGTAAGTTATAACGTAAAATAGACCGAAAAAAGAAAACTAATCGTCGTTTTGAAATTATTTTCCACCGCTGCATCGCGTGGGTAGCCTACTAGTGTATTTTAAAATGAAGGAAAAATACCTAGTGTAACTCTTGAGTCTGTGACATCTAATAAACATTATGACATGCTAATCTCTAAGCAAATCAAAATCGTTAACTCATTCGTAACTTATCTAAGAAACAATTGGTTTTTTCTAATGACATATTTATTGAGAAACCAAATATTTATAATGACGTATTTATTGAGAAACCAAAGATATAACAATTTTTATTGGCTCAAAGATTAACTTGTTACATTGTTTTATAGATGTCTCAAACTCGAGATTTATTGATGAGTTGAGAAATTCAATCAAGTAACAATTACAATAAAAAAAATATGAAAAAGAAGAGTAAATAACTCCGATTCAACTCATATTATCTGGAAGGTTGGAAATGTACAGGTGTCTGTGTTGAATGTGTGAAACGTTACAAACAATCTAAACAACATCACTATTTATAGTATTATCAACAAACACAAAAAGTATAGAAGGACTTCGACTATCAGAGTATTACAAATAACAATGCCTACTGAAATACATAGATATATCGGAGATACTTAACATTTGATATAGACAACCATGTAATACTTCGAATACTATAAGACGAAGACTTTGACACTTGGATATCATCACAACATCTTCCGACTCTACAATCTCCCCCTTTGTGATGAATATCTAAGTTTTCAAAAGTAGGTAGAGTCTTAAATGCATTTGTTAGAACTCATCGAATTTACATATACCATCAAAGAATCTTCTTTATCCCCATTCGATATTCATTTGAGTTCTTCATACACTTGTTAATCATGAGAAAAATGCTAGTAAGATTTTGTGCAAAGAACATCTCCTTAAAGTATGTGTAGAAGAAATACTTCTTTTTCCCCTTTCGTATTCTTTCCTTGAAATACCATGCCCTTGGATTTCATCATGATTTCACCATCTTCATAATATTCAATATTTAAGTCCTCCTTTAAATATGTGCTTGGGTTCATTGGGTTCTTCTTGTAAGCCGTAACAATCTTGAAGTGTATTAACCCCAAATAAGTAAAATAGCAAACGATGAAGTTCTTAAGGTGACATAATCGATGATGTATGTTTCTTTGTCTTGAATTTGATCTATATCAAGATCTCCCATGAGCTTCTTCAGAGTGATAAGATCATTTAGATTCATCAGAGGAAAATCAGCAATAGTAATTAGCATGGTGTATTGTATGATCTAATGACCGTGTATCTATAATTTGAATTGACGCCTTCAAACATCACATCCTTGGATATTGAGACCAAATTGATTACATTTTTCAAGGGCCAAATATCCTCTTCTTTCTTTCTAAGGACAACATGGAACCTTATCTTCATTCTTTTATATTCTTATGTATACTGATAATTACCAGGAAGTTTGAACTGTGGGAAAGTGAACATCAAAAGGTTGAAAGGAAAGTCAAGTTGATTGAATAAGGTGTCATCGGTTGCATAACTCTACTTTGGTTGTTTTTCAAAAGCATCGAAATCTCCAAAAGCAATAGATTCGATAGTTTCAAAGCACTAAACTTTGTTAATATCCCCATTTTCAAGAACAGGCGGTTCATTTGCTCTTTGTCTCATCTAGCTATTTCGTTGTTTCCACTTCTCCTTCTTTAACTCTTCCAATATTTTCTTTTCTTCCTCAGAAGGTTTAATGCATTTTACTTTATTCTTTGCTTCAGCAGTTGCAATAGGTTTGAATGTTAAAGATCCAGATCCTCCTTCCTTTATGTTTAATCCTTTCTTCGATTGAAACTTTGATACATCAACTTCGACATTATGAGTTCTTGTTGCCGATATCATAGTTTGAACAATTTTAGGAGGAATTGAAATTGGAATCTGTATTGAGAAAACTTTTCCAACCACTTTCTATTTTTCATCACCTCCAACATTTGATGATCCACCCTTGTCCTCCCTTGTGACATGAGCACCGGTCATGGAGCATTTGTGGGTAATCGAAGCACCAAATCTAACATTAGAGCAAGTTAAGACTTGAAACAACACCCTATCGAAGATACAACCTTTGAAATTTGTTCATCGGATATTGAAGAACTGGGTGTAACATCAATATTTGAAAAGTAGTGAGAGAAGTTTCAATTATTTTGAATTTCAACAGATTCATTCTTGTTGCTCAGCTCTTCCATGTAGTCTTAATCAAATGCTTGAATGTCTTCAATAAGAGTTCTTGTGGCAGAAAAAATAACATCCACATTCTTTTGAATACCAGTACAAAAGAAATCAATCTTGTTAACCTCTTTGGTAACCAAATCATAAGGTTATTTAACTTTCAAGGTAATTGAATCTTGAGAAGTTGTCACAACCTTCTCTAGTAACTCATGCCTTTCTCGTGTAACATTTTGAACTTCAGTAAAATGGAACTTATAAGAAGCTAAGTTCCTTTCAAGTCTATTCTCAAGATAAGTTATTACACTGTTAAAGAGTTCATCTTTGAATCTTGAGATTTCAACAAAAATTCAACATCATCAATACTTATGAATGAAGAAGAAACAACAGAAGAATCACTGAGGATTTGTAAGATCATATTCAACTTAGAATTTCAGAATCATGTACTGCTTCCCTTACATGATGGCATGATCTTGGATGTTTTCTTCCTTAGGATCAAACTCAAGATCAGGAAATTCAACTCTCTCTTCCTATTCATTGTTCAACTCAAGATTGGTAGATTGAGAAGAAATAAAGCAGTGATGAGTTGTTGTAATATACTTGCAAACATAGGTGAGTTGAATGGAATTGTGGTAGTGTTAACTATGGAAGTTATCAACTATGAAGATGGTGGTGGTTGAATTATCGAAGGATCATGATTCACACTAATATTTACATTTGTGTCCACATTAGATGTGTTCTCAGTGATGTTTGAAGTCCTATTCTCCTCCCTATGGAATTCAAAAGTAGGATCTTCTGGTAAAGTAATAGAATTTGACACAGGGAATGTTATTGAAGGTGTTTCATTATTTATGATGTTTGTCTCCACATCAGATGTGTGGACAATGACATCTATATTGTTTTTCTCCCCTACATTAGATTCGACAATGAAAATCCTTAGATGTGAAATAGGTGGAATGCCATGTAACATGTAATACACATCATCTACACATCATCTTCATTAGCTTCACGATGTTATTTCAAATATTGAACATGTTCTTGAACCCCAGTATCAGTTTCTTCATCTTTTGTCTCAACTAGTACCTCACCCTCATCAATAACTTTCTTCTTAAGCTTTTTAGGCTTAGGCTTCGATGCGTGCTTCTTCCCAACTTTAGTTGTCAATACACCGACTACCTTTCTATTCTTTGGTTGTTCAAGACCATATGGTTATTAGATTTTTACGCCCTTTGACTAAAATGTCACCTTCTTAGGAGTAGAGACATGAGGATCAAAACACAATGATTTCCTGTATTGAACCAAGACTGGATTCGACTCAGCCACCAATCGAATCATGGAATCAGGAATCCTTCCAACTAATAGAAACTCAATAGGATCATAAATAACATTCTCTAGGATTTAGAGATGAGAAAATTGAGCAACTTCAACCCCTTCAGGAACTTGAGTTCCTGCTTGTTGATATGCTTCACGTAGAATCAAACTCAAAATCTAGCACTAGTTATCTCCACAATCTTCTTCGAATGCTTGATATACATAGTAAATTCATCTCATAGAAAAGAAGCATAATATACCTTTAATCCATAGTATAAACCAGCCATAACAAAATTCAATTGAAGCTTTGCTTTGTAAAGCCCAAAGTTCCTTCCCTTCAAACATTGAATGATAACACCAAAGAAGAAACAACATATAACATGTAGTTTAGACTTTATAGCATCACTAATGATAGAAATAGGAGGATTGTATGCCATTTCGTTCAACATCTATAAAACTTTATCAGAACATGGTACTTCATATGGACTTTCAACCCCTAACTGAAGAATTTGAGCAAACTGCTTCTTCAACATTTCTTTGCCCCCTTCGTTTCCATCTGAAACCTAACTACATCAACAGTCTTTTTTGAAATTGTCATAGAACAAGCTAAGGAAAACTACTACATTGGAATGGCAAAATATGTAGATAGAATAGGAGTAAGAAAATAATCATTCAAGCATTGAACGATCATCTTCAGTTCTTCAGGATAAGCAAAAAGTTTGAACTGAACCACACATTGTTGGATTGAATCTTCATTTTTTGGAATAGAAAGAGCTTCGTCAGTTTTATTGCAATGATCAATAGGAGTGTGAACTGTAGACATGATAATCGACATATAACAAGAATTCATAGAGAGGATTTTAGAGTTAGGGTTCTTGGGAAAATTCAAGATTGCAAAAAAATTGAATTGGAACCATCAAAGAACCTTTTATAAAGGGTTTCAAATTTGAAATTGAATTAATAGCCAACTAGAATTTGCCACGTGTAAAGTAGGTAACTGAAGCGACATCATCGCTATTGTAACACCCACAAATTTGGGCTAGTCAAATTAGAGATAATAAGCGTTAAAATGAATTTTAATAGAAGATTATTTAGCATCAAAAGTATTACTCAAAGTCATAGTGTATGTGACAAGGATTTCATACATATAAAGAACGCTAAAATCCAACATCGTATGAAGAATTTATACATTTTCGAAGTTTTGCGATTAAATCGACATGGCACTACGTATCGTGTAAAAGTGAATTATTGATAAATTACTTTTTAGCCTAAATGATCTAAAAGAAAGTCATAGTAGTCATTAAACTGAGAGCCTGCATATAGAGAATTTTCAAATATGACTATAGAAGAGAAAGTTATAATTTTTCAAAGTTTCAACGCAACAGTGTAGGCATAGAAATCGAAATTCTAATCGGTTGATTGTTAGCCAAAGCAATCTAAACATGAGTTGAATATCTCATAAATAGTAGTCCGTAGATATAAATAACATTGATAACGGAGTGTATATATAGAAGTTATGATTTCCGCAACAATCTCTAACAACTTAAGCCTATTAAAAATATAAATTTTTTATAGAGTAGGAATTAGCTATTGAGATCTAAAGGAAAGTTGTAGATCTTGTCGAGAGATTTTCAAGGATATAAATAATGTATAAAACAGAGCACATATGAAGAAGTTATGCCATTTTGAAAATTTGGAAAATCGCACGCCCAAAGTGCATGACGCGCGCGATGACGTGGCACCATGAGAGAGTGCCACGTGACAATGATAGGCGGCCGAACTCAACGTGACATACGTGGATTTGACACGAAACACCACAAGAATAATCCATGTGGCATCCATTTAGAAAGGGTGGAGGTGGACTGTGGAGGTGACGACATGTGGTAGGCAGACAAAGCAGCTAGCACACCCCTTGTGCGTGGTGCGCCCCTTGTCCCTACACACTGTGTGTATCTAGCCATATATATTGTTGGGTTATTTAATTGATTGTATCAAATTTTGTTATGTATGTAGTTAGCCTTTTACGGAATGAGCCTGTCCATACGTTATTAGGTTGCTATGGTTACTCTCTAAATACTGCATGCATGTACTACATTAGAGTTAATCGTTTTGGTGATTCCCTACCGTGCCTTTATAGTAGACGTTCTTTATTGAGCTCTTATAAGGTATTTCTTATAAATCGTTTGACACCATTTTGGTCATTGCTTCATTATCTGATTTACTTTTCTTTTAAAGAATCTTTCAATCAGCTCTTGATTTATTTTAACAATTGGTATCAGAGCGGGGGATTGTGTAAATCATACACAATTCTTTTTTCCAAGTGTTCTAGGGTTTTTCCACTTTTATTGGATCTGTTCTTGCCGTCTCATCATTTTGATTGATTGTTGAAATTGAATCTTGATCCTTCTTATGCCCTAAACTCAATTTTAGGTTTACACATTTGATTCTTTATCGGTTTTAAGTGAATCCACATCATGCAACCTGAAGATCCACATACTCTTTCTTTTGATCTTTCTAGTAGCATCGGATCTAATACTAGGATCTCTATTCTCTTCCCTCAAGACTATGAAGTTTGGGCTCTACATTTTGAGGATTATGTTCTGGGTATCAAAGACTATGAAATGATGATCTAGCAAGCAATAACAGAAGGAACATTCTTGCACATGGGAACCAGGAGTGTCATTAAAACTCAGGCCGAGTACAATAATCATATTGTCGATGTTAAAGATATTCCTTAAGATGAGAAAGACAAACTACTGAGCAAAATTATAGCCATAAGGATAATAAGGTTTGCTTTACCCCCCAGACACGTTTCGATTGGTAACTTCGTGTGATACTGTGAAGGAAATATGGAACAGGTTGAAAGAACTTTATTCCAGTGATGCAGATCTTGAACACTCTGTTCAAACGTTACTTCTTTCCGAATTTGGTGCTTTTTCCCAAAAGTTTGAAGAAAAGCTTGATCAGACTTTCAATGGCTTTAAACGTCTTTTGAGCAGGATGCTTAAGCATAACATGATGCGAGAAAAGATTGAGCAAAAACTTACATTTATGATTGATTTAAGACCTGAGTGGAAAGCGGTTGTTTCCATAGTTAAAGCTCATGAACAATTCAAGAATTATTCTTAGGTGCAGTTAGTAGGAATATTTATGTCTCATGAAGACGAAGTAACAAACGAAGTGAAAGTTGTTTCTAGTATGGGTTCTTTGGCCTTAGTCACAAAGAGAAAAAAGATTCATGAACAAGACTCAGAGTCTGATCTTTCAGATTGCGAACTTACGAAGGAGGAATATGGTTTGATGGTCTCTAACCCAAGAAAGTTTGCAAAGAAGAACTTTGGATGCTCCAAAAATAGAAACTAGAAAGGGAGTTATAGTTATTATAAGGTGACAGATGAAAGCTTCAATAACTCGCCAAAGGATGAAGTAAAGAAGGATAACAAGCTAATGGGAAATTTTGGCTATGACTGCAACTACTGTCATGGCAAAAATCATCTGTCTAAGGAGTGTATGTTGAAGAGAATGAATGAGAAGAAGGACGAAGTAGATAAAGATGAATCTTACTATCTTCAGAATATAGAAGAGCCTAAAAAGAAAAAGAACACTGACAATGCTAAGTATGTTTTAATTGTGCAGGAAGATGATGACGAGTTCAGAAGAGTTGAAGTGTGGTCAACCGATTTGGAGGACGAAGAGGTTTGCAGACCCACACATGGAGAGTGCTTTGTCGCGAAGGATGAGTTCCTTAAGTATGAGGGAAGGTGTATGTGGTTCACAATGATGTTTCAGATCAAAGTGGATACACCACTGATGGCGGAAAGACTTCGGACAACTACTTCGCTATGAAACCCGTTTCCGAGCAGATCAACGAATGTCAGAAAGTGATCAACAAGGTAAATTCCATTCTCGGATCTCTAAATATTTCTGTCACTAGGTATAAAACTGAATTAGATGATTTAAAATTTGCAGTCTCTAGTTTAAGTGATAGTTTGAAGAGAACCCATTTAAGTAATACTAATTTAACTGATCAAATCAACAGGGTAACATCAAAAAGTAAAGAGAGGCGGATATGGATTGAAAAGTTAGAGTCGGATTTATCTAGGTCTAGGGATGATTTGGTTTATTTGCAGCGAGACAATTTAGGTCTTTTGAAACAACGATTTTTTTTTTTGTTTGATTGCTAAGCATATTTACTTTAATATCACTCAGCTGCATATTGATTGTGAAATAGGCAAGAATATCCATAAAATGATTTTTCCCTTTCTCGAATTGAAAGAGGATGAAATCGATGCAGACTGCTATAAATACGAATACATTGTCTCTTCTGAAGATGTCTCTATTTCTTACAAAGTTGGATTGGACAAAACTGAAGCTTACATACAGTCTAAAGAACATAAAGACATGCTAAAACTGATTTTGAGCGTAAAGATAAAGTGTAAATTAAACCTGATATTGTACAGAAATTTGACTCATTATGCACTAAGTTGAATTCAGAAAATACTATTAAATATGATCCTAAGAAAAATTTGATTTTTGAAAATCCATTTGAGTATGTTCGTGTTTGTGAAAAAAAAAGGTTCAAACATTTTAAAAGAAAAGGCAACAGATTTTCTAAAAGTTCAAATTGTTCCAAATCAGGTTTTCACAACTTCTGGACTG